CACCGAACTCAAGCTCTTTCCTCTATAGCAAATCGTACAGTTAATATACTATTAACAAACGCCTGTAATTATGTATAGTCCATTTCTTGCCAAACAGCACACTGCTTTTAGTCGGCTTCTCAAAATTTTTTTGTTCTTTGTCAGCTGGTAGAACTTGGCACCCAGGTGCGAGGTCGAAGGAGAGTACCTTATAAAGCATACTGCTGGCAAAGTCGGACTGCTCTGAATTGCGGAAGAAAATGCAGTTTTTGGTAAGCACGGTCATATTTAAAGACCTGTAATGTCGTTTGTTCAGAATAGACCCTTTAACTTTCGTTTCATTTGTAAGATTGCCTCTTGCAGATGCAATCGGTGGTGAAACGACTTTGTTAACAAATCAGGTAGATGTATAGAACAAGAACAGGAATTTAAAACATCGCTTTTGAAAACGCACCATTTTAAACTTTTAAAAACGTATTTTTCGACGACATATCTTTTTTATACTATATGAAAATTACAAGAAAGTACCTTAGTGATATCACGAGTTAAAGTGCGAGAAATTTTCAATTGACTAGGCATTTTTAGCTTTTATCTAAGTGACATAGTTCCCGTTTTTACCGAACCATCGCTGTACTTTTAAAAATGGCTTACTCGGTCGCAGATTTCTAAACAAAAATTTTTGCTGCCCAGTAATTTAAAAAATAATTTTTGTAAAAACCATTATAATGGCTGCTTTCCGATATTTTCACTGCGGTTCCTCAGTGGACTCTTTTTACCCAGTTGTTTGGTACTTACTGTTAATTACTGACAGAGGATATTGTGCTACCGTGATCCTTCCCGCAATATGTGGTATAAAACAAAGAGTTTTCTGTCTACTCGCAACTAAAAGGCCTACGCAAAATCTCGGCTGTAGAGAAATATTCCCTTCACTACAATTTGTTGAAAAAGAGGTCGTTTCTGTCATTCTTTTTAAATTGCAAGACACCAGATTACTACTTTCTTTGGCAGCTAAAATTTGGAATTTCTTATTCTTGTATCCCGTTACAGTTCCGTTGCGAAATCATACGATTCCTTTTAAGCTGCATTTGGTCCTTAAAAAGTTCCATTGGATAGGGACTACCGATACAAGAAAAAGATTATCTAGAACCAAAACGAGACTGTAGAAGCTGACAGGAGATGCAGAATTTTTTTTCAAACAGTTTGTCGAATGGCAAGTCATGCGGTTTCTGTGTTTGTCCAGTGGCACCCCTAAAAAGTTTTCCGAATCACTATTAATAGCTTTCAACAAGGTTGTGAATTTCTGCACTAACGAAACGATTACAGTACGATATCATTCGCTTTTAGCTTCCAGTAGTCGGTGCCAGATATCTCAATTAAAATAGCTTCGTGAAGAACCAAAGCGTTGAAAACAAAAAAAAAAAAAAATTGACTAATTTGTATTTGTTCTGAAAATTTTTTTTTTTTGAAATGAAAAGCAGTCAAAAATTTTTAATTGGGCATTTGCAAATGATCTAGTTGTAGTGAAGCGAAGCCACAGAAGTACAGGAATGGCTCGGTGGGAACTAAAGTCGTGTTACTAGTAGAGGTGTTAAAGCGCTGAACCAGCCGGAAATTTGTTGCAGCCCTGTCTTTCTAATTGCACTTTAACTAGTGATATCACGAAAGTATTATCTTGTAATTTTCATAGATTATATAAAAAATATGTACTCAAAAAAATCTTGTTTTAAAAATTTTAAACTGCTGCATAAAAACAACTTAATTCAACAACATTTCAATACTTATTTTTGTTAGGATTTATTTTAGTCTGTTACCTAATTTGTTAGTGCGGGTATTTCATCACTATTCTGGGTTTGTACAAAAAGATTTTCAAAACCAGTAGGAATTTTTGAAGTTGAATGCAAATTAAAAAATTACAGGCTCTTAGAAATGGCTTGCTTAACAAAAAATATTCTTTCTTACGTACCTTAAGACCGTCTAGCTTTACTGCCAAAACACTTTCTGAGGTATTTCCTTTTGATCTCGTGACTGCACACGCAATTCTGTCCTGCAAACTGAAAAAAGCAGAAAAAAATCTGAGAAGCCAACTAAAAAAT